ATATTTGAGACAAAAGCCTTGCTTGGGAAATTGAGTAATGCGAAGGAAATTGGTAAAGACAAGTTTTAGTTTTGTGAATTAGTTAGTTAAATTAGTGTTAATTGGGTTGTCATGGATAATTATCCTTGAAAATAAGTAGTTCGAGAATAGGGCGTTATTGATTGTACACTTCACACCGTATTGTTTATAATTGAAAATGCTACGACATGGTTGAGTATTAGATTGCATCATGGTATATCCATATGTATATTACTTACATATAATTATTGGGAATGCTTTCAAGTGCAAAGGTGAACTCAGGACACCCAGGTAAGTTCAGGTGAGTTTATGGTATTAGTTGAATCGATTGCGTTATAGCATGACTACAGTTATGTGTTAGGCAACTTCGATACTGTCGTACTGGTTGCCATGAGTTGCACATGTTATATTGAGATGCATTGAAAGCTCATAAACTTGCACCCCAGTGTTAGTGCTCCCGCCCGTGGCCAGGGCACAGTCCTTCACGTGATGTTCACCTCCCGCACCTTACGCTCACCTTGGATCCAAGGTAGGTGCACAGTCCTATCGTACAGACCACTTTAGGTGGTTCCGACTCGTAGGTGACCCACGATTATTCGCATAGTCTTCACGTGATCGTAGCACTTGAGCGTATTTATTTACACCCAATCCTGTCGTACAGACCACTTTAGGTGGTTCCGACTCGTGTGCAGGTATACTTATCGAGCTATTGGCTAGCCAGGATTGATGAGATATGGATAAGTCGTACATGTCACTATAGGTGACTCCGACTTATATGCTAGCCATGATTGATGAGATATGGATAAGTCGTACAGGTCACTATAGGTGATTCCGACTTATATGCTAGCCATGATTGATGAGATATGGATAAGTTGTACATGTCATTTTAGATGACTCTGACTGATATATCACTTTGTATTGATTAAGTTCATTTGGCCTACTTATTAATGTATGGTGGAGTTGATGGCAAACCGTGGTCTTGGTCATTTCTGAGTATAGTTTGGATATATGTATATATGTTGTACTGTCCTATAGAAAACGATAAGGGAATTACAGTGAGGAGTTATTACTGTTAGAAAGGTAATAGTTTTGGGAAGCTTGGTTTTACTGCTTACTCACACTTTCTGTTTTGTACCCCTTCAGGTTTTAACTGCTGAGTTTGTATCGACGAGGATATATAGCTAATCTTAGTATTGGTGGCTACTTTTAAGGGTATGATTCTTACTCACACTACTGTACCTTACTTATGCTCTGACATCGCGTGTGAAATGGGTTCACTCCCACTCGTAGCGCACTCTGGTACTTAGACCCTTTTAGATTCAAATTTATTCACTTTTTATACACTATCACATTTTATGGCTTCATCACCTTCCAAGTGTCGGCCAGCACAGCTCGATTCAGGGTCCAAGTGGACTTTCTGAGTCGGGGTGTGTCATAAACTTTAAAAAAAAAAAAAAAATACACTTTATTCTTCAACCACAAACTCATTTTAATTATCTTCAGCTTCTTGCAATCCCCACTGGTGCTCAATCAAGTCATTCTGGCAGGTTATGTGCCAGTATGAAACGATCAATTCATTGTAACGTCCATCCTGTTCCAACGGCTCGTGTTGCACGAGATCTTCGGCCTAGTCATAAGCACATTAGATACGTGTTCTTGAGTTGTTCATCAGATCTGGCTCATATTCATCGACGGCATCATAATCATACTTATCTTCCACAATCATGTTGTGGAGAATAATACACGTCATCATGATGAATCGAAGAGCCTTGACATCAAACAGTCTAGCAACAGACCTGACAATCGCTTAATAAGCTTCAAGATACCAAAACAACACTCCACATCTTTCCTACACCCCTCTTGACATTTTGCGAAGTGTTTTTCTTTTTCAGTCTGTGGATGTGGCACTGTTTTGACAAACGTAGAGCGCCTTGGGTAAATGCCATCTGCAAGGTAGTATGGTCCATCGTATTTAGTGTCATTAACCCAATATGTGCATCTCGGTGATTTTCCTTGCAGCAGATCGTCGAACACTGGAGATTGAGCAAGGACATTTTGGTCATTCTAAGTTCTTGGAACACCAAAAAAAGCATGCCCAATCCATGTATCAAATGAAGCCACCGCTTCCAAAATGATACTTTTGGACAATTTTTCCAAGTCCAGTGCATGCAGTCAATGCTTCCAATCATGCCATGGAAGCCTCACATCTCACCCTTCCTCAGAAGCCTTCGCATGTCCCTTGGCATGGGTGTCCAGAGGTACTCATTGGTGTATAGGGCTTCAATTGCAGAGTAAAACCACATCAAGGACTCCAGAATAGTTGTTTTTCCTATCCTCGCAATCTCATCCACTTGATCTGCAGATGCTCCATATGCAAGCATTCGCAAGGCAGCCATAATTTTTTGCTCTGGAAGAAGACCTAGAACACGAAAAGCATCCGCTTGTTGCACAAAATATGGATCATGGTTGCAAACAGCACTCATGATTTTGTTGAACAAACTTCGTTGCATTCTAAAATGACGTCTAAAAATATGATCAGGGAATACGCTGTTGCAAATAAAATAATCTTCCAAGAGATCTTTACCTCGTCTTTCCCTTTTTCTATCGAAGTTTCCGCATGTCTGGGTTTGGCTATCTAACCCATAGCTTCCATGACACGGCGGGAATATGAGGCCCTCTGCCTTCTATGGTCATCATCCGAGTCCTCCTCCATTGCGAAAGCCTCATCTCTACCTCCACCTTCCTCGAGATTGATCAATTCTTCCTGTTGTGCTAACAATCTTTTCTGTTGCTCCACAAATTTTTTATGCACTCTCCTTGAAAAAGACATTGTAACAAAAAACTCAAGATTTGAAAACGATGAAGAAGGATTCTGAGCTAAAAATAAGGATTGAGTTTGGTGTGAGGATGGATGTAGAGATGTAGGGTTTGTATGGACAAAAAAAGAAAGGATGAGGTTCTAGGACAATGCCACGTAGCACTACGTGATTGGTTGAAAATCTTATCGAAATCTTGGCTAAATTATTGCAAACAAGAAGTGACACATGGCGCATTAGGATTAGTTGAAAATCTTATCGGAAATCTATCTACAAAATATTAGGTTTGGATAACGACACGTGGCGTATTAAGATTGGTTGAAAATCTTATCGTAATCTTGGCTAAATTATTGTAAACAGATAGTGACACATGGCACATCGGGATTGGTTGCAAATCTTAGCGGAAATCTATTCACAAAATAGTATGTTTGGATAATGACACGTGGCATTACAGGATTGGTTAAAAATCTTATCCGAAATTAAAACTATTTTATTTATTTATTCTTTTATAAAAAAAATTAAAATATTTTAAATGGGCCGGGTGCCAGCGCATTTTGTAAGGGTAAAGATCGTTTGTGCTTGCGCATTTTTTTAGGGGTGGAGATGCTTTGGCCTATTACTGTTCACTTGAGTGGATAAATGCGTTGGGTGTTGGCGCAAAGTCTTTAGGGGTGGAATTACTCTAAATATAAAGGTGAGTTGTTGTCCACCCACACCACAAGAATTTCTTGGGGAATGACGATCTTTTTCGGATTCTCTTTCTGAGGATTTCGGGGATTCTTCAATCACATTTGTTTATCATGTATTGTGCGGTTAGTTTTCGTTAGGTACAGTTTATATTTAATTTTAAATAAAAAGATTTATAATGATTTCTGACCGCACGATATACGATGAATGGATGTAATTGGAAGATCCCCGAAATCCTCACAAAGAGGATCCTCATTCTTTCTCAAGCACGTTAAGTATTGTCACGACCTTAAAACTTCGTCATTGGTTGACTTGAGGTGGCCTTAAACCCTTCTTATTTGGAAGTTTTAACGAAATACTCCCGGTATTGTTTACTTTTAACGAAAAAGACATTTTTACTCTAAAAAGTCACTCTTGATAATATTCACTTACAACACCTTTTTATCCTCTTGATTAAAACTCAAAGTTTTCAAATCATTTTTTCATTAGTTTTCCTTTCTTATTTTCTATTGTTTTCAACTTATTATTATTATTATTATTATATTATTATTATTATTATCTGTCCACAAGGAAAGAAACAATTGCAACTTAGAGCAGCTCCAGCGTATGCTGGAGCCCGATGGACCAGCGATCAAACAGGGCCAAATCGCCCCAGCAAGCAAGTCTAGCCCATGCTGGCGATTAAGCCCAAGGGGCCCCCAGGGAGAGGCCCAACACGAGTAGCTGGCCCAAGAGCCCGATGGCCAGGTGACGCAAGGTTGACGTCAACCACGTTTCTGTGTTTTTTGCGTCAGGCGCGTGCACTTCAAGCACGCGTGGTGGCGCATCTCCGACACGTTTTCAGACGTGGGGCCCGACGGCGCAGTTTTTGAAAGTTACCGTTGGAGAGGCCACGTGACTTCTTCACATCCGTTGGATTTCAACGATTACATTTTATGGATCGTTGGATTTCCAACGACAATAATTTTTTTTAATCCAAGGGCAGAGATAAATTAGGTTGTAGATAATGTCACGTGGCATGCCGTCATTCGTTAAAAATCTGATCGAAATCTATCCTCAAAGATTGTCTTCAAATTGTGACACGTGGAGCGACGTGATTGGTTAAAAATCTTATCGGAAATCTATCGTCAACAATTCTGAAAAGCTAACGACACGTGGCACGAGAACATTGGATAAATATCTTATTGAAATCTATCACCAAAAAATTGTCTTTTTAAATAATAACACGTGACGCAATGAGAACAATTAAAAATCTTATCTAAAATTACAATTAAAATTATTTTATAAAATAAAAAATACTAATATTTTATTACCTATTGCCGTGACTATTCAGAATAGGAGTGAAGATGTATAAAGTAGTTCTTGTTCATTAGGAGCTATTCAATAGTGACTTGCCCTAAGGACCATTGCAACGCTGGAGCTACTCTTAGGAACATTCACATCCATTTCAAAATTCAACCAACAATTAAACGTTGCATCTGCAAAAAAAATTTAACAACTTTATTGCTCGAGGAGAAACCTTGTTCCCGAGATTTACGGAAATATCGTACAGAGGTTATACAGCTACAAGGTATATAAACAGCTACAGCGTACTCAACATTACATTACATTCAAAATCTTATAATACTTGATTTCTCCTAGCGTTTGCATGACAAACCACAATTAACACAATGGACGTATAAAACCACACCATGTTTCGTTACTCAAAAAATAGAAACCTAAACCTAGCACATTTGCAAACTAAATTAATAAATTTACCATAACCAGAATCCAACACGGAAGTTTTTTCCGTCTTAGAACGTAATATGTGCATGTCTATGTTCTTCCTCAGATAGCCTTCAATTTGTTCAAGCGCCTGTCAAAGGGTACGGTAAAAGTAGCGATAAGAATAGGTAACAGATAACTTCAAGCAAAACAACACATAATTTGTAACCAAGTAATGATATTTGGCAATGCTTATTGAAGGGCTAAAAGCACTTCCAGAAAACTAAAGTGATCTGGCCGATGCTATGAAGAGAACATTAAAACTCCCTGTGGGTTATAAAACCACTTTTAATGCTTCTTCACCCAAGGACTTGCTTGGTTTTATTAAAAGTTTGACGTGCTTCTAACAAAAGCGCTTATGAGTAGAAGTGATTGTTACAAAAGCACTCCCAAATAGGCTCATAGCCCTGTTTTTGGTTTTTAGAAAGGATGATTAACAAGTATTCCTTTATATGGGAATGCAATATTGAAAGTGATAAAGAGAGGAAACCTCAATCACAATGGCAGTAGGTGTGAGATTGGATACATCTCTACAGCCCAATTTGGCCTGCAATATCTGCACGACAGATAATGTAAGGAATCAATATCTTACAAGAGAAACTCCTTCGTTTACTAATTTTACTATGTCAAGAGAAGAATTAAAGTTGGAAGGCTGACATACTTTCCAAGGAAACCCTAGCATTGGCGTTGGCATATGAATCACCTCTCTCTTCAAAAAGACTAGTCAAACGCATATAAGTCTGCATGGAAGGCAAAGTTTCAACATACCAATGAGTTGGTATCCTTTTCATTTGATAGATCAATAAGAAAGATGATGATTATTTCAGTGACAATTTTCAGCTAAACATAAACGGCTTACTTTTCTGTATGCATCCCCTGACCCGTGATGCAAAAGGGGGCGAGAGCCAGTTCCCACAGCTGCAATTCTCTGAGCCAATGCTTCCAAGGGAACATCTAACCAGACACTAATCCCCTTCTTCATACACTTCCTGATGCACCAATATGTGTATAGCAAGTTATTACAAAGTTAATACAATTTGCGAGAATTCAAAAGCATAGAAATTTGTGTTACTACTAACCAGTTGACAGGGCGTACAACTGCACCTCCACCCGTAGAAACAACTAGACGATGCATCAAAGATAGTTTACGTAGCGCCTCAGTCTAAAAGGAATAAGTACAATTATACAATTATAAACCATGATTGCAGTAATGGAAGTGAGAGAAGAGTGGGAAAAAAAAAATCAACCTACAGTGCATAGCTACACTAATACGCTGCTGCTTCTTTATCTTCACGTCTATTGAATGGACAACTACTAAGAATGTTTCAGTTTTTTATACGTGTGTATGCATGTACATGAGGTGTACGGCATTGTATAGGACCTGCAACTTCCACTTTTTAGTACGAGCGGCACTTCATGGAACTATGCCATAATGCCACCAATCATGAGACACCAATTATAAAAATTACAAACTGATTACACATGGTTTCATACAACAACAACAACAACAAAGCCTTTTTCCCATTAAGTGGGGTCGGGTACACATGGTTTCATAATAATAAAAAAGTAAGCAGTTTTGAGTTCTAACTGATAATCAGACGTTTTTTTATTAATACATAATGAATCATTAGGTAACAGATAGTCTCCAAACATGAAATCTGCAAAAATATGAATTGACGGAAATAGTTTGCAACTGACCTCCTTATCTCTGAAAAAGTCCTCTCCATAGAGTTTGAAAATTTCAGCGACAGAAGTTCCACCAACATCATGCTCCACCAACGAATCACTAAAGCATCCACAAGAATATACCAAAATACAGAAAACTGTTTAGTAAGAAGTAACATAAACTGATACCCTAAATAAGCCACTTCAGATAGACTTAAGAAAAATGAGATAATTGACACAAAAGAACTCTTTGTCCTTCCCTTCATTCTTTATGCAATCCTAACAGAACATGCACTTTTTCTATAAAGACCAAACTCGAAAGTAGGCAGATTAAATACCTATCAATGAATGAATAACTAAGTGCTTGCGCCATAATCTTGCCAACGGTTGTTTTCCCAGATCCCATCATACCTGCAACTCAGAATTAGTTTATTAGTGCACAGTAATTATATCCCAGACTAAATATAAATGGCTTATAAAGAGATTTACCAACTAGATATATACAACGTCGATTCAAATATGGCTCGATTGCTAGTGCCTTATTCTGCAATTTTATAACTTCTAGTTAGACATATGCATGTGTGTGCCACACACGAATAAATAAGTAAACGTATATGGTTTTGCTTTATCTTTGAACCAGAGTTCACATTCTCATTTGACAGGAGATAGATTCCGCTATTTATCAAGACCAAAAGGGGTTTGATTTACAGGATTTCATGGCCCAAACAAACTAGAAAATGGTGTGTCACATATACCTTCAAAACCAGTGATTCATCAGAAGTATGAAAGTTTCCAGATTCCACTGTTGAAGCTACACAAGTGAGATTTGAAATAACAAGTCAATCCTCAGAAAGAAAATAAATTGCGCAAAGATTTTTCCAGATTACAAATAAGATTTTCTGTTATCGTGAAACGGAAACCTCATTAAAACAGATTCTCAAGCCTTGAGGTCATCACACTCCAGAATTCTCAAAAGATAACCAATTCTGTTACGCATATGAAATTGTATATGATGAATATATTGAAAACAAATTAATTCCATTTTCTGTTCAAAGTTGCAGAATTTTACTGATAGGAACTTAAGTTGAGATAAAAATGAATGCGTGTCACAGTCGTAAAGCTTCTCATGGCTGTGGCTAAATTACTAGGGTTAAAAATATTATTAGTTGTCTTAAACACAATGGGGGTACACCTAACACAAGTTGGGTAGACGATTAGGACACCAACATTTCAAATCCAGCAACTTACTTGGGACTCAATGCAACAAAACTAATACAAATCCGATTACTTTTCCTTTACCAAAGAGTAATTCTTCCTTCGATAATTCATTAAATTCTGTGTCTTTAATCCTTCATCTTATGCTATTTCAGCACCTAGATTGAAATTAACCAACTTTGGTAATAAAAAAGGATAAAGGAAATTGATTCAATCACCAAATAAACATTACAAATCACGATTAAACACTACCAAAAATCCGATATATATATATATGTTGAATTGAATTGAATTGAATTGAACAGCATTGAATGGATTGAACAAGTTACTTGGAAAGTTGTTGTAAGAGCACGAAACCTCCAAAGCGACACTGTCGTTTTCGATTAGAGACTTGTGAGGTTGGTAGGTGAGCGGCTGCAGCTGCAACAAGCACCTGGGTCGTGTTTTGGTCCCTTAATCTCCGAGAGAAGGCGGCCGACGTGCTCTTCGGCCGCCTCCTCGCAACCTTGTCCGAATCCACCATCCATGTGGAAATTTGCAATCTCGGCGCAACCGTTGCCGCCTCCATACTCATCCTCCCTCAAACAAGCAGCTCAACGGCTGTGATTGCACCGGCCACCGCAGTCAGATTAAAACTATTCAATCTCGAAAAATGTGATACAAATCTAAACGAAAAGCGGCGGCGCAACAAACAGACAAATATTTGACATCAACAATTGGATTGGAGGAGTTTCGGAAAGACGAGCGGGGCACGTACCTCTACGGCTTACCAAAAGCAGAATCAACGAAGTGTTTCCAAAAAACCAAAAAACAAGCAGAATCAACGGCAGAGAGATGTGAGTCGTTTCTCTCGCGCTCGCTCATGCCTCTCCGCAAGCACATGGTTTATTTAAAGCGTTGTTGCCTGTCGCTGAGCGCCAGTCATAGCAGAATTCAGTTTTTAATTGTTTTTGTTAGAATCACCGGCTGGGTTACACACTATCTCTGTGCCCCGGGGGGTTGGTCGTACTGGTGGTATGGTAGTGCTATCTGACGGACTGAATAATTTGTATTTTTGTTTATTTTATATTTTAAAATTAATGGGGTACGTGGCAATGGCATGCGGGTAAGATTGGCTAGAGGCTGTGACTTTTCCACATGCTACCAACCCTCGTAGGCGTCGGCATGATAAAATGGTGATGTTAGGGTTGGTAGCGGAAGCGTCAACTTACTCGCGGGTCTCTGGTCTGGTCTGTGACTCTGGTCCATGGTTGGTGGGTGGGTGGATGATTTGGATCCTCTCCGAATCCCTTTTCTGGGGATCCCGGGAATCAAGCACAAGAACCGTTAATCAAAGATCGTGCGATCACAATTAAATGTTTTTTACATAAAACGAGATTGCTTTATTTTTAAAAATATAAAAAATATTTAATTATGACTGCACAATCTTTGATGAACGGTCATTGTGCCTTGATTCCCGGGATCCCCAGGGAGGGGATCCGGAGAGGATCCAAATCCGGTAGATGGACTTGGTGACACAGGAAGAGATTTTTCAATATGCTCGAAACACAAGCTGCTACACCGCACATCTCTATACAAGTAGTAAGATTTTTTTTATTATTTATATAACAACATATAATGTATCATTTTGTATTACGGGTAAAAGTAAAAATTTCTTCTAAACTGGAGTGCTTGTAATTTCCATTTTCTAGTGATTTTTTTTGGAACCAGGTATTGAAACTGGAAGCAATGCACCTGCAACCTATCCGGATCAGGTTTATATGTTCACACTCGTAATCCAACCTACCCACGGCAGGGAAATACCTTACCACGGTTGACCCTAATATTATAAAGTAGGTATAAAAGCTTTGAATTTAAAAAGTAAAATCTATTCATTACATTCTTCTTAGTGTATATAATATTATTTATTAAAAAAAAAAGTAAAAATTATTCTTACATGTGATAATATAAATGAACCACATTTAATTAGAACGTGTCACATAGATTATCAGCTTAATCTGATAAAAATACATGTAACGGTATGAGCAATCTAGGGCTTGTTTTCGGTTTGGAAAATGCCAAGGCAATGGCCAAGCTAAAAAAACGACGACGACACTTGAGTAAAGGGTTTCTCGGTCTAAAAGTTAGCTACCAAATCAAAGCGCAAAAGAAGTCTTGTGGGACATTAGCTTTGGAGATTTGGACTTTGTCATGTGGGGAAAATGTATGTCGCGACGTGCCAAGACTCGCAAAGTGTCGGCACAATGCGTGTCATGATTTGTCTTTGACATGCCAATGACAAGCCAAGACTCAGAAAATATCGATCATGGCATGTGCCAAGCCTCGCAAAATGTCGACCGTTTAAAAATCCATATGATGATGTACTTATTGTCTAAGCGTACAAAATGCAATCACAAGTGCTTGTATATTTTTTTTCACAATTTTCACACACATATATATTAATTATTATGAATTTTTATATATTTTGACCATATGTGGATGAGTTTAATCCACAGCGCTCATAGGTTTGAAATACAAACCATGTAATAATTTTTATCAACCATTTAGTACTACGGTTTAATGTTATTTTTCTTCACTTGTAAGTGAGAGGTCTTAGGTTCGATTATAGCCAAAAAAGAAATTGAACCACATTGTTGTTAGCCTATTGTGAGACTTAACTTACATCTTCCACCCCATAATATAGATGATAGCGTTTGTTAAAAAAAAAATGATTAAATTTTTACCATATGCGCATGGGTCGGTTCTTGACCGGTTGGTATTTGATAAACCCACATTATGACTCCATTTCATGGGTGGGCGGTTATGACATGGATTGCTAAGAAACTTGGGTAAAAATGATCCAAACCAGCTAAAAGTGGGTTGGGCTGGATGGTTTGGTCGGTTGAATCCAAAGTATGCCCCCCCTTGGGCCACTACCACCTAAACAATTTCTGTCACCACCCCTCTATCACTATTTTTATTACCACCATCACTCCCACCATCATTAATTGCTCTTCCTAACTGTTGCCACCACCCATACCCCAACATCACTATTATTACTACTATAGCCACCAACCCAATTACATTGTTGTTGGAGCGGAAAATTTTCGGTACTTCAATTCTGCACTAACAAGTAATCTTGAACACATTGAGAAGCCTTGGACACCATCTTCGCTTCTTGACAATGAGAGCAGGGAGACCTGCAAGAAAACACTCCGACGCTCAAGTTAGTATTTGTTCAGAATGCTTATAACATATAGAACGATCTTATACCTCTCTTTTCTCCATCTTTTGAATATTTGTTGCCCCAATAGAATGGTTTCTTCATGCAATTCCTCAATTGGTTTCTTCGTGCAATTCCTCAAGGACAAGTTGCTTATCGAGCATCATCCTTGAGTGTCTGATCTTTATATATCCATTCAAGTACAAATTTGTCATTCTGTCGCCTCTTTTCAAGGGAATTTTGTTACTTTATTCCTCTCAATTTGGGCTTCTCTTTTCTCTTCATGCCTATGTTCTTCAAATATCAACACACTTTGCGGTCAATACATCACAATAATACTAAGACCAAGATTATACAATTAGAGATGCCCCTTAACAAAACCATTGCGTGCCGATCACTAAGTATCACAAAATCATTGAGTGAAAAGAAAATATTTGAACTAAACTGATTAATTAGAATTAAGAACTCAAGTATCCTGGTACATATAAAATATGCAAGCTTGCGGAAACTACAGTATTGTCGATCGCATGCGTGGCTACTTCGTTGATTCATTTCTTCTACCAAAGTGCTATTTTTTATATATTTTCCAAGCCATTACTATAAGCTATGATAACAAAGCTTAAAATTGGTGAAATCATAAAAAGAGAGAATACAAATCTTCATGCTTAGGGTAAAGTCCTGCCCTCCAATTCTCAATTCAATTGGTTAATCAGTCAAAAATTCATTAGTTTGGACATGGGTAGTGCAACCATTTCAATAGAAATACTTAGAACAAATTGAAATATCTACATAAACCATTTTAAACCACGAAGGTACTGTAGAAATCCATATTCAACTTGCAGTGCGTCATAACCTTATGTTTCGACAAAAATGTTAGTTCGCATTATAAATCACATGATTGTGGAAAGATAGAAGAATAGAAAAACTTCACTATTTAAGTTTTTGGCCCGTGCCCCCATTGTGGCTGGTGGAAACCATGACTTCTCGATACGGCTTTTTGTACGAATTCCCACAGACGGCACCAACTGTTGGAGTCGAAAATTTTGGGTACTCCAATTCTCCACCAACAAGTAATCTTGAACATATTGAGAAGCCTTGGACACCATCTTCGCTTGTCGACAATGAGAGCGGGGAAACCTGCAAGAAAACATTCTGACGCTCAAGTCAGTATTTGTTCAGAATGTTTATAAAATATAGAATGATCTTATAACTCTCTTTTCTCCATCTTTTTTCCCATGCTGATGGAATTATTGCCCCTTTATAAGCATTCAAGTCTTGGGCTCCAAGTTCCACTCTCATTTATTTCTCCATGTTCCATGTAGTGGGTATTACGTTGCTTCATTGTAGCGCCACTTCTCATGTTTGGTGTGCTAGTGGCTTATTTAATGAGGAATCATTTTTGGCTCCCACACTAATTATCACCCCCTCAACAACCACTATTGAAAATACCATCTCCACCTCAATTTTCACATTGTCAAAATTTATATTAGTAATGCTTTTTTTTTATTTTTTATTTTTTATGTTTGAATAAACGATAGTATCTACACTAAGAGCAACTCCACCGTTACTTCTTGCCTTGGGAATAGGCAACTCAATCCACTTCTTCCTCCCCAAAACACTCCAGCCCACTTAGGCAATTTGGTCAAGGCGAGCCCAATGGAGAAGTTAGGCAATAATCGTCTGGCCCAGCGTACATGTAATGCAAGGTTGACGACATCATGATGTTAGTCACAATTTAACCATTAAAATTATAATTTATAAAAAAAACTAATTTAAAATATGAAAAAACTATAGTTTATTTTTTTCCTTTTTAAATACCTAACCATGTTTTTCCAATTTACACTACTTTTATTCTTATCTGAAATTAAAAATAAAGTTATCTTTTATTATTTTATAAAATAAAAAAAATACTAATATTTTAATAGAAATTGCCTGAGCTATTCCCTTGGGCAAGTAGTGTTCATTATATGGAGTTACTTTTCATTTGAAGGGATTGAGTTGCCTATTGTCCAGGGGGCTTACTACACTGGAAGTGCTCTAAGGGTATGGGGGAGTGTTAAGCCTTACAATTGGTTTGCCATAATAATTTTATTTAACTTTACTTTTGACAAGAATCGAACCTAATAGCTATCACTTACAAATGAAGAGGAATACTAGTAAATTAGCAAATACATTTTGAAACCATAATAAATTCACAACTAGATTTGTGGTTTTCGTGTTACAAAACAGTTGTTTGTAGAGTGTTACTAAACAAGTTTACAACAGCACAGATATCCTCTTGGTCATGTTATACCTATAACACTAGCGCACTAGAGTCACAGCATTTGAACGAGTTGACATTATCCTCTATCTCCTCCTTTTGGTAAATTCGTATACTTGTTGGTGTATTATTATGAGAAACTTTGCACTTCACCACTCCCTAATTAGGCGACGAAATTCTCACAAAACCCTCAACGCATCCACGTTAGCAGCATTACCAGTACCTCCTCCCCCTCATACCTTTCCAATTCGAACCAAAAGGCGCGCTTTACTCGACCTCTTACAACCACGCGACCACTCCGACAAACCCATTTTCTACTACAACGCCATTCATGCCCAGATTCTCCTCTCCGGCTTTCGAGACGATGTTTTTCTGGCTAATCTTCTCTTGCACTCCTATGCCAAATCTTGCTCTTTTATTTACGCGCGGAAACTGTTTGATAAAATGCCTGAAAGGAACTCGGTTACTTGGTCTTCCATGGTTTCTATGTATACCAAGCATGGTAATTATGAACATGCATTGCTTATGTTTTCGGACTTCTGCAGGAATCCCGATGGGCACCCGAATGAGTATACGTTGGCCAGTGTTATCCGCGCTTGTGCGCAGTTGGGAGGGTTTGATCAAGGTGCCCAAGTGCATGGTTTTGTTGTCAAGACTGGTTTTTATCAGGATGTTTATGTGGCTACTTCTTTAGTCGATTTTTACGTCAAAAATGGCGATATAGATGAAGCTGACCTGATTTTTGAGGGTTTGAAAGTGAAAAGTGCAGTTACTTGGACCATAATGATAGCAGGGTATGCAAAATGTGGAAAAAGTGAAGTGTCTTTGAAATTGTTTAACCAAATGAGAGACACCGATGTTCTTCCTGACAAATATGTTCTGTCTAGTGTTCTGACTGCATGTTCTGCGCTCAAATTCATTGGAGGCGGCAGGCAAATCCATGCTTATGTGCTTAGAAGGGGAGCCGTAATGGACGTTTCAGTGGTTAATGTGCTTGTAGATTTCTATACCAAGTGCGGTGAAGTGGAGGCAGCAAAGAAGTTATTCGATATGATTGTAGTCAAGGACCTCATTTCGTGGACCACGATGATAGCCGGGTACATGCAGAATTCATTTGAGCGGGAGGCTGTTAAGTTATTTTCTGAAATGGCCAGATTGGGTTGGAAGCCGGATGGATTTGCATGCAGTAGCATTCTTACTTCGTGTGGTTCACTTGACGCTCTTAATCAGGGGAGAGAAGTCCATGCGTATGCTATTAGAGTCAATCTTGTTTATGAAGCTTATGTGAAGAATAGTTTGATTGATATGTATGCAAAATGTGATTCCCTTACTTATGCAAGAAGAGTATTTGATTCAATGACTGATCATAATGTGGTGTCTTACAATACGATGATCGAAGGATACTCAAGACAGGATAAGCTGTCTGAAGCGCTGCATCTTTTCAATGAGCTGAGACTTAGATCGTTCCAGCCGAGTCTCTTGACGTTCGTCAGCCTTCTTGGTATCTCAGCTGCTTTATTCACGTTGCAGTTGAGCAAGCAAATCCATGGTTTGATCACCAAATATGGGTACTGTTTGGATGTATTTTCTGGCAGTGGTCTGATAGATGTTTATTCGAAGTGCTCAGTTATTAAAGATGCCAGACTTGTATTCGATGAGATGTATGAGAAAGACATTGTAGTGTGGAATGCAATGTTTTGCGGATACGCGCAACAGATGGAAAGTGAAGAGGCTCTTAGACTGTACACAGAATTACAATTATCGAGACAAAATCCTAATGAATTTACTTTTGCAGCCCTAATCTCAGCAGCCAGTAACCTGGCAAGTATGCAGCAAGGCCAACAGTTCCATAACCAGCTCATTAAGATGGGTCTTGACAGTGATCCGTTCATCACAAATGCCCTTGTGGATATGTATTCCAAGTGTGGAAGCATTGAAGAGGCTTGCAAAATTTTTAATTCAAAAGTTTGGAGTGACGTTGCCTGTTGGAATTCCATAATATCAACATATGCTCAACATGGAGAAGCAGAAGAAGCCCTTCTGATGTTTGCAAGAATGATGAAGGAGGGAATAAAACCCAACTATATCACATTTGTGGGTGTGTTATCAGCTTGTAGCCATGCAGGCCTTGTGGAAGATGGACTTCGCCACTTTGAATCAATGCCTCAGTTTGGGATTGATCCAGGGACTGAACATTATGCTTGCATAGTGACTCTCCTCGGTCGTGCTGGTAAATTATTTGAAGCTAAGGAATTCATTGAGAAAATGCCGGTAAAACCAGCAGCAATTGTATGGAGGAGCTTGCTCAGCGCGTGCACTGCTGCCGGTAATGTTGAATTGGGAACATATGCAGCAGAGATGGCAATTTGGAATGATCCAGTGGATAGTGGATCATATATCTTACTTTCAAATATTTATGCATCCAGAGGAATGTGGGCTGATGTCAAGGTGGTGAGGGAAAAAATGGACAATGATGGGGTGGTGAAAGAAACCGGCTGTAGTTGGGTTGAAGTGAATAATGATGTTCATACATTTGCTGCAAGAGATAGAACACATCGTGAGGCAGATCTAATTTTTTCAATTCTAGACAATTTGATTCTGCAGATTAAAGGTGTTGGTTATGTGCCTGATATTACGACACTTGTGATGAATGACTGAGATGAAACATGGTGTGGTAATGCTCAGTGAAAGGGACGTTATGAGCTCTTGATAAACCATGAAATGAAAATTTGCCCTGTGCATCTTTTTGAAGTGAAGCTTGAGCTTGATGAGAGCAAATCTTGGGCTCCTTCAGATTGGCTAGTTTATCAGAATGTGAAAAGCAGAAATTTCCTTGTGATGCCATTTTGATGAAACGGAGCTGTCCTTGGTCAATTTTTGCAGTGATTGCATCTTGCTTTACAGATGTGTCTCCCATATCTTGCATAACAGACTGGCTGGAAATTACTGCAACAAGGTTATTGCTGATATTCCATTGACAAGTGATGCTTCCTGGATTGTGTATACAAATGACGTTATATCTATATGAATACTTTTATTTTCAGACTCATTGACTTCACTCTTGGTTTACATATTTTTGTGATGTCAATTTCTCCTGTTGTGATTTCCGATACATTACTTTCCAAAACTTCAAAGCATCTGATTGCAACTTTATTCTCCTCAGGAAAACTTCGTCCACTAAGGTGAATGATTTTGCTTCAAGAATTGCAGAAAATGTTAGAGCGGCCATGGAAGCTACTAATTCCCTGCAGCAGGAAGTAAAACCCTTTGTTAATTACAGTAACCAAAATTCAAAATGAAGGTGGCTTCTAAAACCCATCCCAAGAGATCCCTCAGATGCTTCAGCTTCTTATATTTTGAATTCTCTTGGGTGTCCATAAACATTTGACTCCCAGGGCCTTATGTCTAAGGGGAATGCAGAACTTGGTGAAAGTATGAATGTTTCAAGTGATTCTGAGGAAGGGCCTGCTTTGCTGTCCAAGATGGTTGCAGTTGTTTGCAAGTAACACTTGTTCTGCCTTTGTTTAGGGCATTTGGAACGTTCCTTCCTTCATGTTCTCTCTTACCTTTCATTCGTGCTCGCCAGGTTTGTGGATGAAATTAAAACCCATAATCCCTTCATTTGTGATAAATTTTAATTTGAAGAGAGTTCGTCCTTTAAATATTCTATTTCAGAGGAATCTGAACGTCCTTTGCCTTTTAGGATGTGTAATTGCTGGTACTTGAGACTTTACATTGTCAAATGCAATGTGCTGCTCCAACAGCTGCTCGTATGTGTGGACGGTTCATATCTGGCGCAGCTAGAATTGGCTTATGGTTTTGCATTGTTTATGTTAGAATTTGTTGGTTTATAGTTAAGCTGTGTGGTGACATTTTTTCACGTTCTAATACTCTTTCTCGTAATTGTTCATAGACTAACTAACTAATTCATGTGCTATTACCAATAGTAAAGGATTTTTCTCGTCTCTCTTGCCGTCTTTTATATGGAGGAGATTTGTTCAATAGTATGCTTCATTGATTCGCAAAGTTTTTAACATTGTTCAATTGGATTTCCTGTTGGTTTTGGTAATGAATGAATGGGTATGCCAACATAAATTTCTCCTTTTTTCTCACACCGCAGGTATTTTCACAACTACGCCTATCTGAAGCCTCAGCGCATTCGGGTTCGTTTTCTACCAGCTGGATCACAAGTCCCGTTTAATAAGCTGGTCAAGCACAGTATTGCAGGGAACTTGATCTGAAGAATTTTGCTTATCTGGGAGATGAGGTTCAAACTTGAGTGAGTGAGATAACTTCTAACAAAATGGAGAGAGATATTACTGCACAAATAGTTCGTGCTGATGGTCAAGATGACATCTACTTTCGGTCATATATTCAGAGAGATGGGCTCACTCCTAACCACACAAATATTCTTCCAACTTAACTACCTATTGCTATGTGTTGGGTTTTTATCACAAAAATCCCGGTGTTGTAGGAGTAGAATCATACACATATATTGTATTTTATTTTCTCAATTTCCCGATGGGGACTTACATTCAACACACCCCTCACGTGGGACCATCACACAGTGGGCAACACTTGCAACCAATCCCACATCAGACGTTAAGCGCAAAAGCGTGGTGTGACATTAAAATCGGTAACTCGGGCACGACATGGACCCACAAGACAATCGAACCTGATCTAATATCATGTTAGATATCCAGAGAGACGGGCAATTGGCCCAATCTAAAATTGGTACGAGGCGGAATATTCTACAAAAATAAAAGTTAAACGTTGCACAGTAAACTAGTCAGATGAAATAGTCAACAAGATACGAGTTTGTCAAATATGAAAATCATAGTTCCAAGAATTAAATTTAATTGACTAATACGTCTGAGTAGTCAAGGTCTACACAGATATATGTCACAACATAAAATCACAAGCTAAAACACATTCATCAATCAATTCATTAAGCAAACAACAAATGCAGCTTGTGATGTTAAAAAGCTAGATATGCAAGCAAGTTAAAGGGAAGTGTACACATCAAGTTTTGAGAGGAAATACCCCTAAATGGGTTTTAAAAAAACCAGAGAATCCAAAGAATTCAATTCACTAGTGAAGAATAAGGTTCATACAAAGTTAACCACAATACACTCAATTCCTAAATCTATTCTAAGGAGCAGTTTGTACCTTTGTACAACTTATATTTCACTTAGCTGGAGTAGTTTTCAGTCTTCACAAGAGGGCAATTGCATCCGTTGAGCTCATCGCCTTGTGGCACTCAGACCATGATGATGGAAAGTTAACGTACAGCCATGCATTCAAACTCCGGCAAGTCAGCTTGCTTCAATTAAACAGTTAAAGGAGGAAACTAAATGAGAATCGAAACTAAGGTCTAAATGAAGAATTGAAACTAAGATCTAGACTATGAGCAATGTAAACCTTTTTCAGGAATGATGTCAGTGAGTTAGCACAAGACTTAATCCATGAAAAAAGGTGTATGCAGCTAGGGTTTTAGGAGAACAAAGAGAGGCTCGGGGAACTTAAGGCACTCTCTAAAATGTAATCTTTGTTGCCCAAAACAAATGAGCTTCTAAGAAGAGGTAAGCAAGCATTTTCAAGGATAGTTTTATAAATATTGTATGAGAACTTTACGTAGAAAATGCTTGATGCTTCTAGGAGATTTGAGTTGGAGAGGAAAAACAAAGACACTCCCTTTGAAGATGAATTTCCAACCCAAAATTAAAAACCCACAACCCTTTTAAAACAACTGTATTTTTGTTTGTAGCAGCCAAGTACACTACAAGACATGTGCCAAATACTAAAACCATTATAAAAGATAAAGGGTGATAGCTCATTCTCAGATAAAAGGTGTTAGCCAACCTATGTGGGTTGTCTTTTATTGTTCCCATCTTGCATTTAAAATGTATGCATAAATTGGCTAGACAACTTCACTAATTAGAATGCATAATAAATTTAGATGTAAAATGCAAATGCATATTCTAAGGAAAATTGTTCTAAATACTAGATGTGGTACATACTTACAGGATTGACAAGGAAAGCCAAAACAACTACGTCTAGACTTCACACACTCCTAATTACACTCATATTGTCCCCACACAACCACCTATTGCAAGATGGGTTTTTATCACAAAAAAAACCAGTATTGTTAGGAATGGAAGCGCACACTTATATACTGTATTTTATTTTCTCAATTCCCCAATGTTAGACTTATATTCAACACTTCCCTTCACATGATATCACCGCATGGTGGGCCACACGTGCAACCAATCCCACAACGGACCATTAAGCGTGGAAGCATGGTGTTACATTAAATCAATAAGTCGGGCACAATTAGAACCCACAAGACCCACAATCTAACCTGCTCTTATACCATGTCAGATATTCAGATAGACGAGTTATTGCCCCAACTTAACTACCTATTATTAGGCATTGAATTTTTACCACAAAAGGTCTCAATGTTATTAGGAGTGAAACCATACACATATATTTCATTTTCTCAATTTCCCAATGTGATACTTAAATTTTAACACCTTGTAATGCAAAATCAAATTGCAAATGTGTATAAGCTTGAAAGTTGTGAAATTGATGCAACTCATTGCATTTCTTCCTTCTTAGAGAACTTGAGATCGAAGAATATTACAGAAACGAGAGATACCTTTTGTTGCAGGAAAAAAGGCAAATCTTCCAAATCCTCACCATTTATGGGGTTAGATTCTCTCTCTCTCTCTCTCTCTCTCTCTCTCTCAACAGAGGAGACGGGGTCACGGGGATTCGAATTAATAAGAACACAATACTCTAACTAGCTACACTAAGCCTAGGTGTGCGATTTTCTGCAATTTAAAATATATAAAAAATGCAACCTTCCAAATCATCCCGTTCTTAATGATAATCAAATATTGGAAAAAGAATGAATCTTGCATATATTTTTAAGTGATTGGTCCAATTCCATCTTACTATTGGTTTTATGGAAGAACCTTACATCTTTAAGGTAATATATCTTATTTTTATGTTTCGGTAAATAAGTTACAAGTGCATAATGACTTTTTTTAATAAAAGCTGTTTCTTTAGTGCAAATAGTGCTTTACCGCAATGACAGAAAACAATAATGCCTATGCTCCTTGATGCAGGTTCAATTCTCACCAATCACCTCCTCCTAACATTTAACAATTTAGCTCTACTAACACTATCGTTTAATAAAATTTGAGAGAGCGGTAACAACAACCAGAAGAGTCACCAAAATTTGAGCAAGGAGCGGCAAGGAGGGCACTCAAACAATTTCCTCTCACTGTTTTTTTAATACTTTCTTCCCCTGAAATTCCCAACCGAAATTTCAATTCCAACAGCTCAAATTCAAATCCAACAGCTGTACTTCTGGAGTTTCAAACCGATTAAATTAATTACCCAAAAAAAAAAAAACACACACATTTTACTATGGTTCTACAATGATATGAGGCCCTATTTTGGTTTTCACAATTGAATGCCTAAAAATTCATAACAAAAAACTGTTTCGATAGTACTAAAATAAATTCAAAACAAAGCGCACCCAAGTTCAATTCCATGGTACAAAATCTATGAACACTTTCTCTTCCAAAACACTGCAACACAAGAATGCCAATCCATGTCGTTCCTGAAGTGAATTTCTCGACATCTTTGTACAAGAAACCAAATGGAACCATGATTTGAGAGCTCACACATCACGTGCAAAATGCACCTACCACCCTTCATGCAGACACTTTGTTTCGTTCAGCTGGAAACTTTGGCGGCGACCTTTCCTTGAAACCTATCATCTTATTCAATGCACCGATGTAGGCCTTGACACTAGAGACAACAATATCCATTCCTGCCCCAATTCCACTGCCACCAGAGGACAATACAGAATTTCATACTGTTAATAGGCGAAGAGAACAAGGTATTTGAAAAAAAGCTGACTTATAGACACCAAACCTGAATGTCCGCTGGACTGATTCTCCAGTTTGAGCATGAGTAACCGTATGACTGTTTTCCAGTCGGATTACCACACGAGTAGTAGCAATTGCATCAATTCCTTCTGTTACCGCATTCATAGAGTACTCAATGAGCGTTACCGGTTCCTGCTATGCAGAGAGTCAACAAACTGTTTTACAACACAGGCATATAATGTTGTGGTAGCACATGTACAGCTTATGGGAAAATAAAGTTTCACAATATAAAAAAATTCAACGATAAGTTGTGTGATCATCATTGTCCATCATTCATCTTCAGTGACAAATTTTTTTAAGTCATAAACTCATCGAAGCAGACACGGCAAGCTAGAAAATTGTCTTCAACAGTAGTACAAGTATATTGCAACAAAAAAATTTCAAGCATAAAAAGTAAATAAAATTGAAGTGGTGAAAACTAATGGTCTTATCAAACCTTCACAATCAGATCAACAGCCTTGTAAGCTGAATCTACGGGACCTGTTCCAACTGAACATGCCACATGTTCTCTCCCATCAGCATCAATTAGTTTAATAGTTGCTGTAGACAGACCAAGAGTTCCACAGGTAACCTGACCATCCACAGTCCAAGTACATTAGAGATGATTAACTCTTTATAACTCATGGGGCACAAAATGAACATGGTAAAACACTATCTCAAAAAACCTGTAGATCATGAAGCTTCCAGACAACTTCTGGCTGAAAAACTTCATCTCGCACCAATGCTCCGAGATCTGCATCAGTTATACTCTGGGATACCAACAGTTCAAAAAATGAGTTCAAACAAGAATATCTTGATGCACCAAAACAGGATATAAATATGTTAAAGATTGATACTGTGTCAGATTTTATTTGGTCAAAAATCCATCTTCACTGCACATCTGAATCAATTCAATGGTTCCTATGCAGATTCCAATGTTTCAGAGTCTTGTCTTTCAAGAAAAAAATTACCATACGTCAACAAAAGAGGAATTCAGGAGAGGGAATAACTCATCTGACAAGAAGTTTACTGTCTTAATGGTGTTTGCGTAGGATTTTTAGGAAAATTAAAATAACAAGCAATATCTTTTGAGGTTGACCACTCTTTACTATGCCGGTCCATACCACTAAAATATTGGCCTATATTTTCGTTTATGGGCAGGACCCACCAATATTAGAATAGCTTATTCAAAATTAAGGTTTACCATTGTACCAGTTGAAACACAGGTAAGCCTTGTTTTCCCAATATTCACTGCAAAATCTTCAATAGCTAGAAATGCATTGGTAGCAGCAGAGCAAACAGGCACTAGATATTGTATAAGTTATTTGTTAGGCAAGCAAATGGTGAAGGTGATTTTTTCCTCTACGGGCATATTAGACAATATAGCGATATCCTTAATTTTGCAACAATGAGATGAATTTGTCAGTGTCCAAAAGCAATCAACCCAAAACTCTCCCATATGATGGTCATGCTTAGGTGCCAATGGTACAAACAATTTCACCTATAGATGTTATATATTTATCATGGAAGCTTACAGGTTTGATCAATGCATTATTATTGATTCAGCATTTCCC